TGAAATATCGCGATATTTCAGTGTATCGATATTTTCTTACACCCCTAGTGTATATACAAGATTTCTCCAATGGAATATTTAATAGTGACTGTGGAGGACCGAGACCCAACCCCCAAGACACGAGGCAGACATAGGGAAGACCAGAGCCCACTGCATTCCTTTAACAATGAACACTCAAGTATTTGGTATTTTTTTTGTAAAAACTCATCAGGACTAATACTATCAGTATCACAAATAGCTATTTTATGTGATTTTTTAGAAAAAAAACTAACTTCTTTAAAGTGGTAGTACTGTCTGATTTTGCTTTTCTTTTATATCTTGTATRTATTTCCATCGGACTGACTGCACATCAGATATGATATTTATTTTTTTGTTGGCAGTAAAACATTTCTGAGATGTTTGGATTTTTAGCATTCCATAAAATTCCTGTACAAAGTGGAAATCATCTTGTCAAGTCTCCTTGTTATCTCTTATCGTTCTTGGAGGAATTGGTAAACATCCAGCAACTTCTCCACTCCCACATGTTCACACACTCCTCTCCTCTCACTGTATGAACGTTCTAAAAACTCCGAACTCAAACTTTCTTCACTTCTCTGTACAGACTTAATCCAGACACATAGACTCAATAAAGATGGAAAGTTTCAAAACAGAAAAGGTTTTTGTATTTTATTAGTAGTCTAAAATTCTTTTTATTACAAGTGCAGTTTTTTATATGTGTAAGTGACTGTAATTTATGTTAAATCATTTTCAGTATGAGTAATTAGTATTTCTTTATATGTAACTAAACAATGTTATTCCTGAGATGTGCTATAAGTTCAGTTTTGATCATTTAAATTCAAATATATATAAAAAATGTTAAATTAAAAATAAAGTAAAATTAATTCAAATATACATTTATTAAATTTAATTTTGAAAATGGATTTTATTCGCAAACAACTTTTTTTAAAAGTAGAACCAGCCCATTGTAACATTGATGGAAAATTCACTGATGATCATTGACGTTCCACCTAAATTAACACATTTCCATAAAGAGAATTCACCTCAGCAGATGGGTTCATGGTGTGCTCGTGGAAATCTTTCAAGATCAGGTTACAAGAAGTTCATCCCAACTGTTCTAATCTCACATGCACAAATCAACTTTTTTTTTTAATCTTTCAACATGTTTTCCACTACTGTCAGATATTTCTCATCTTCACATGGTGCAACTTCCTCTTTCCATACTTTCCCTCTTTCATTGCTAGTGTGTGTGTGTGTGTGTGTGTGTGTGTGTGTGTGTGTGTGTGTGTGTGT